CGATCAACAATCATCTCAAAAGAAAGTGGTAGATAAATATAGCTGTGTTTACCACCACCATCATCATCATTGGCTGGAATTCAAAACTATCTAGAATTATGAATCCATGAATGATTTATATTCATGATCCCTGCACACAAAAGGCCTGCTTCTTGTATGAGCCCATTGAACACAATATCAGTTATATGAAAATACTAGCATAGTATCACTTGGAACATAGACAATATCTCACCAATGCCTAAACTGTTGTATAGAATGTTTCTAACCTGCGGACTGTCTGTATAGAAAAAGATATTGAAGGGGAAATGGCATGCTTACTCACTTTGTGTTTTTCTTGTCTTCCAGCGAATGGACATTACAATTCCCGGAGCCAATCCCTGAGGTCCACCGACAACCGGAAGCGGGATGATACGGATGAGTTCCAACAGTATGGGTATCCTGCTCCGCAAATAGGTATGCAACCTATATATCCAATTTATGAAGGCAATATTTGGAAGGACATGGAAAAAGTTATTCAAATATATAATAATAATAATAATAATAATAATAATAATAATAATTTAAAAATGCTGGGCATGTCCAAGGGAAATAGGAGGGATATTTTGGGATAGGTGGGCGTGCAGACAGTTCTAAGTTTCTCGTAAAGTGCATTTAGGACGTATTGCTTAGGATTCCTTATTCTGGGAAGGCACACTGGAACATCCACGTTTTCAAGCTCCTTCTAAAGACTGCCAACGTTGGGGCCTGCCTGATGTCCTTGGGGAGGGAGTTCCAGAGTCATGGGGCCACCACCGAGAAGGCCCTGTCCCTCGTTCCCACCAATCGTGCTTGCGAAGCAGGTGGGATCGTGAGCAGGACCATGATCCCACCACGATATATAGTACAATACCTCATTTCTTGTTGTCAAGGGTTAGTGAATGGTTATTATAGTAATTGTGTACTAATTGTGTATTAGATTAGGTTGTTAACTGTTTTTTATATTGGTGCATTGAATTTTGCTGTTTCTTGTGTGTTGTGAACCACTGTGAGTCGCCTCCGGGCTGAGAAAAACGGTATAGAAGTAAAGTAAAGTAAAGTAAATAAATAAATAAATAAATAAATAAGGGTTCTGGGAAAGATTGCATGGTCAATTTTTTTTGCATGTTTACATTGATGTCTTGTGCCGTTTTTGGGTGCAAATTACCCAAACCATGCCATTCTTAAAAGGTGTTTTGTGGGAAATATTGCAGAACTTCAGGGCCACAAAAGTGGAGTCCAGGGCTGTATGTGGCTCATAGGTACTTTTTTCAACATAGCCTTAGTAAACCAGTATTCATTGGTTAGACCAGACACTGGCAAAATTTGGCCCTTCTGGTGTTTTGGACTCCCATTGTGCAAAACACCTGGAGAGTCAAAGTCTGCCCGTGCCTGAGTTAGACTATACAGAGCCACCTAGACCAATGGTTTGACTCTAGATGAGGCAACTGCTTTTGCTTGAACTCATAACAGGTGATCCAGCTGCTGAGGAGTGGTCTCCCTGGAGTGTGTGTTCAACCACCTGCGGGGAGGGCTGGCAGACCCGGACACGATTCTGTGTCTCGTATTCCTACAGCACCCAATGCAGTGGACCCCTTCGAGAGCAACGGCAATGCAACAACTCAGCTGTCTGTCCAGGTGATGATCTTCACCCTTCCCAGCTCTCCTTCCTCTCCCAACCATAAGACCATGGTCAAGATTCATTAGCTGGGATGTTCTTTGGAAGCTTTTAAACAGAGGCTGGATGGCCATCTGTCAGGGGTGATTTGAATGCAATATTCCTTCTTCTTGGCAGTGGGTTGGACTGGATGGCCCATGAGGTCTCTTCCAACTCTTTGATTCTAAGATTCTATGTGCAGCAGAACTACTTCAATGAAAATATTATGGGTATATCTACATTGTAGAATGAATGCAGTTTTGACACCACATAAGCTACCAAGGCTCATTGCTATGGAATCCTGGGAGTTGTTGTTTTGTGAGACATCATCACTCTTTGACAGAGAAGACTATACAGCTTGTAAATCTACAACTCTTAGGATTCCATAGCATTGAACCATGGTCGTTCAAACTATGTCAAACTGCATTCATTCTACAAGTGGAATGATAATACATTGTATTTAAATGTTTATGATTATTTTTGGAGATCCTACCTTTCAAGGTGACCCATACCAAGGTTATTCAAAGGAGAAATATTTTTAACAAGTTTATAATATGAAAACCCAAAGAAAAAAATCATATGTAAACATACCACACAAACAGCTTCTGGCAGCCTTTGACAGTTTAAATATTGAAATACATATTTAAATGATATTGTGAGACCAGATGAATGCATAAATAGATATTGATATGCATGTTTAAAACCAAATTTGTAGGCAGGCATTGAAAGGAATTATCAATAAAATATGTGAAATTATCTTGAACTGGAAATAGAGAGATTTGCCCATTTGCATATTAAGCGGAGGGCCAGAAATGACCTCATGTTGGCAAGAAGCTCATAGGAATGGTCAAATCATACAATTGCAAGAGTACCTAAGAGTCACCCAGTTTGACCCCATTCTGCCATGCAGGAATATACTATCTGTTCTGGTGGATGGCCATTCAGTCTCTGTTTAAAGGCCCCCCCAGAGATATTAGAAACTTCTTTATAATGCCACAAACTACTGTATAATTACACATTTTCTCTCCAAATTAAGTTGCACTTGGCTCTGGGTGTTTATAAAGAAAATCTTGATCCAGACTAGAAAATGTTCTCACTCTAACAGTCTAGACAGGTTGACCCAAGAAGCATCTTCCAGCTGTGTGATTTTATGAGAACAAAATGGAAGAGCTTCACATGGAGCAGAGACCAAATGATACATGCAACCATCACTTGGAGAAGGTAGAACAACGAAACATTTATCTCTGTGGTGTTGAGTTGAAACACATAGATACATTGTGATGCTGACTGCTTCAGTGATAGCTCCCTGCCTGGATTTCTTCAAAGCAGGATTGGATAAATACACAGGGGAGCAGGTAAATCTATGGAAACATCCTGGATAACTTCAAAAAGAAACAGGATACATTCATAGAAGATGGGGCCATCAATGGCTACTTGTGGTCTCTTCCAAATCTATGATTTTAGATTACTCCAGTATTAGTATTTCTGACTGCCAATCATCCCTTTTAAGTGTCCAATTGACCACCGTGTCAACAGAATGTTGGACTGGTAGCATTTTTGGTCTGATCTAACATAGCTTCTCTGATGTTCTTCTCTTCTTTGTTTCCCTTTCAGTACATGGGGCATGGGATGAGTGGTCACCATGGAGCTTGTGTTCATCAACCTGTGGACGAGGATACAGGGACCGCACTCGGACCTGCAAACCTCCTCAGTTTGGTGGAAATCCTTGTGAGGGACCTGAGAAGCAAACCAAGTTCTGTAATATTGCACTTTGCCCAGGTAAACTGGAAATAAAACTTCCCTCACTGGTCATCCAGTGGGGAACTAGCCAATGATTAAGACATTTCAAAATTTGAAAGTTAAAAAAGATAGCATTCAGATGCTACATTGTAACCCACCTCATCATCATCATCATCATCATTTTAAGATGCTTGTAGTCTGAATTTCTCTCTGGACTTTGGGGTCTCAGATTGTGGTTGAACAACAGAATCACTGAAGCCTTAAACTGCAGTATCGGAAGGGAGCACAAGGACCAATGTCCTGGCATTCAAGAATATAAACTAAAGCACTCCTGAAAGATGTTTGGGACGTCTTTTCACTATTTCAGTCCTTTTACAGGTGTCTTTTTATGTGTGACGATGTGAGGGGGAAAATATGGTCTTTTAAATTTTTTTACTACCTTGTACTGATGTATTTTCCCCTTTTTAAATTGGCTGGGGCTGTCTTGTGAGCTTTTACATTGAGGCTTTTATATTACAGGCTTGAGACACTCTTGTAGTAAACAAAGTAACAAAGTTTATTTATAGCTTCTGGCTCCAACGCTTATGGTTACATTTGTTTGTTCTGTTACAGTCTTGAGTCTTACATTCAATATCATTCACTTAGTTAACTTTCCTATCAAACTTCAACTGTTTCACATCAACAACTATGTTACTTTTTCATACACTCTTGACAGAACTATATTCCGCCTTAAACCACACTGGCACTTCTTTATTTTCCTTAAAACTTAAGCTCCATTTTCCTAACTGCTTTTCTCTCACAGAAATTCCTAACTGTCCTTCACAAACAGGAATCCCTAACTGACTTCTTCTGACTCTCTAACTGCCTATTTTTAAACTTAACTCCGCCCCTTTGGAATGTTCAGCTCTCTTCCCCCCAACTGCCATTCTGGCTCAGTGGCCCTTTCAAATCCTGGCCTTCACTCATCTGCATACGACCAATCGGCTGCATGTATGCAAATTTATCTTGCCTCTACTGTTGCTACCCTATTTCTGCCAATTCTGCCACATTGCAACATAGAGTTATGCAATAAAAAATTAACATAGATCAACACATTCGCTACAATGTTCAACCAATCTCTATTTTTGTTGTTGTTGTATGCTTTGAAATTATTTCTGATTTATGGCAACTGTAAGGCAGATCTATTACAGGAGCTCACCTAAAACCACTCAGTTTATTTCCATGGAGAAATGGGGGATCAAATGCTGGACTCAAGAGTCATAGCCCAACACTGAAAACATTACATGACACTAGCTATCCACTTGTATTTGACAGTGTTCACTGCATTCTAAGGCAGTCAATTTCACTGCCAAACAGCTCTTATGGTAAATAAATTATTCCTAATATTTAGATAGAGCCTTTTGCTGCTCCACAGAATATAACACAAACCAATGGATTCAAATCACAAGAAAAGGAGATTCCATTTCACTCCGTCTTTCACATGACATCACTTCATATATTAAAAATGACTTTCCCATTATCTCTTCATCTTCTCTTGTCCAAGGTGAAAATGTGCAATTCCCTAATGGTTCTCCTATTACCTCTTCATCTTCTCTTCTCCAAGCTAAGCATGCCCAGCTCCTCTTAAGCTTTGGTTTCCAGACCTTTGGTCACCTTGTACAACCCTTTCTGGTTACAAATCAGCTGTTCAATATCCTCCTTGAGCTGTAGTACCCAGAGCTGGACAGATTTCCGAGATGCAATGGATGCATTAAGAACTCCATTGTTCAGGAGTTCTGAATTTTGCACAAAGAAAGAACACTTTTTCAATCACCTTCTATCATTTTAGATCTTCCTTCTTACAACATAACCAATGCATGCGTGCAAAGTCATAGCACTGCATAGAAAGCAGTCTTGATGTGACAGCACATATGGCTGTGTGATTCTTTTGTGTGATGTTTTTCTAATGAGTAAGAGCACAGCAGGAGTGCAGCAAAAACATGGCACAGAAACAATCTCAAAACAATTGCATGTGTGATCCCATCATCAAAAGAATGTTACTTTTTGCCATGTAACTTCAGTGCATAGAATGACACAGCAGGGTAGGGAAGAGGTCAGCAAAGTGAAAGATCTCAAAGTTGGAGAAAATGACAAGTACTTAAAATCTAGAGTTATTGTTAGAAGTTCTCCTAATTGACTTAGAAAATGCAGCGTGAGCCATGAAAACAATAAAATAATTAACCTAAGGTGACCAGGAGAGAATTTGGATGAGGAGGAGATATAAGAGTCATCAGAGAAGTTAAGAAGACTTCAGCACTTGCTCTTGTTTAGTTTGGTGGACTTCCCTTCTCCCCAATTTTGCATGGGAGCTTCCTTAGTACTTTATCCACACTTTATCCGCACCCTTTACTTCATAAGTGATGGTATTTGCAAAACTGTTGTTTTGCAAATAAAACAAGCAAAAAGAAACCCATAGTCAGCTTCTCCAAAAGGTGGGACCAGATTGTCAGCCAAAATAATACTGCAGAAGACCTTGTGACTGTGTTAAAACAACATCTCAAAGTTTAATCAGGCCATGCTCTCCTTGGAGTTGGCCATGGTCCTGATTTCTTTTCAAAGCCAAACAAGGCAGCTGCAGTATGCCTGAGGACCAATTTTCTGTCCCTTCATGGACTGCCAAAAATCCTCCCCACCCAATTGTAAAAAAAAGATATAAATCCACCTCACTTATGATTTTGAGACATTTGATATCTTTAATGTAAAAAGGACTGTAATGTATTTTAAAAATTAGTGGCAATTTCTGGGGGCAGGAGAGACAACCTATGAAGTGGAAGGAGGCTGTCCATAGAATCTGGAAAGGTCGAGTACCTCAAAAGAGGTGCATGTATCTCCATAGCTATAGCCTTTTGATGACTTTGACAAAAACTGTTGGCTTTAATATGCCCATTTCTTGGATGCTTGCCTTATTTAACACCTATAGAACCCACAACATTTTTTCAGTGCTGGCATAGTTATAGCAGTGGTGCCTACTCATGGCAACCAAGGTCATTAGCCACTCTGACCCAACGGAGAGATCAGAGTTGAGTATGAAGATATATTCTTCAGCTCAGAATAAAAGAGAATTATTTTTGAACTACATTGTCTGTCTTGTCATACAGCCATCCATCATATGTCATTATAGAAGGCTACGATTGGGCCTCCAAAAAAATGTTAACCATACTTGTGCCATTTGAGGAATCCACTGCCCGAGCAATCTTAAGAGGTGGGCATCCGATATCTCCCTAAAGATCTCCAATAAAAGAGAGCCCTGGCATTTTTCAATAGAGTCTATTGCATTGTTCAGTAGCTATTACCAACAGGATGTTCCTCCTAATGTTAAATCAGAATCTCATAACCCACCCACCCACCCACCCACCCACCCATCTATCTCATCTATCTATCTATCTATCTATCATCCTTGAATCTATTGGGCTAGATTCTATCCCCTGGAGCAGAACAAACTAAGATTGCTTCACATCTTACATGACATTCCTAGTATATTTAAAAATGGATCCTATGAACCTTATCACATGGGTTTTCCTAACCTAGGATGCTGCCAAGATGCAGCCAGGATGGAGCCCACCAGAGCCCATCATATGATGCAGAGCTACTTCTGGCAGAGCTTCATCCCAGCATCTTGGCAGCATGCTAAAAGGCAGCCCTGAGAACATGGGGGACTACCCGTGTTCTCATAGACTAAACTGAGGACACCACGGAACCAAACTGGGGGCAGACAGGAAATGGTGTATGATGGTCATGGGATAATGTGGGGCAATGTCCAAGGCCTATTACCACTGACTCACGTATTCACCCAACTGCCCAATGGACTCCCTTGCTATCCCCTGACTTAAGGACCTCCATGGGATGAAGTCTATATCACTTCTCCTCATCAGTATATAACCCACGTGTATCTCATTTTTTTCAACATATTTGTTTCTGTTTTTAAGATACTAGTCTCAGGAACCCATTGAGGAAACTCAATGTCTTTTGCAGTGCACAGATATAAATAGCTGCCAAATGAGCACTGAATTGGGGAGGGGGAGTGACTGAAAGGTGACAATGAGGATAACCCATTACCTTAGTGCCTTCTCAGTTAGCTATACTTTAGTTATGGTTCTAGGTTTTATAACTGCAAGCACTGACAATTCACCACTGCAGGGAAAATGCAGTGGTTTTTATGCATAGAAGCACAAGTGAGGCATGAGCTGCTCTTTAGAAAAGAGCAGGGAGAGGTAAGAAGTTGAGAAAAGACTGTGGAATTGCAGCAAAGCTCCACTTAGATTGTGGCTTTGGCTGGTTTTGATTTGCTGCAGTGAGGCTGAGATAATTAAATGGCTGGACATTCAGAAATAAAGAATTGGCAGACTCCCGGGAAGTTGTTTTCCTTATACGCCCCCTTTGATATTAATTAAAAAGTGGGAAATTGGCCATTCAGGATGAAGAGGGGGTGGGTGGAAGAATTAGATGGAACATGGCAGGGAGCTATAGAGAAACCCATTGCAACCCACCTACCAAGGACAGGCAAGTGCAAGAAGACTGAGGAGTGTGCTTTGGTTGCTTTAAGGCTCTCAGTACTCAAAGGACTGCCAAAAATGCCCAAACAAAAGAAGTGATTGGAAGTTCTTTTTCTGATGCTGAAAAGCTGGGTATGTAAAATATTATACCATCTATTTGAAAGTTGTTGTTGTTCATTCGTTCAGTCGTCTCCGACTCTTCGTGACCTCATGGACCAGTCCACACCAGAGCTCCCTGTGGGCCGTCACCACCCCCAGCTCCTTCAAGGTCAGTCCAGTCACTTCAAGGATGCCATCTATCCATCTTGCCCTTGTTCGGCCCCTCTTCCTTTTGCCTTCCACTTTCCCCAGCATCATTGTCTTCTCTAGGCTTTGCTGTCTCCTCATGATGTGACCAAAGTACTTCAGCTTTGTCTCTAGTATCCTTCCCTCCAATGAGCAGTCGGGCTTTATTTCCTGGAGGATGGACTGGTTGGATCTTCTCACAGCCCAAGGCACTCTCAGAAC